TCCCACAATTGCGGTAGCCAGCATGAGAAACATCACATCGCTTTGTTTCTCTCACTTCCCCCTTCCCTAGATTTGTAATAGCAAAATTAAAGGATGCTACATCCCACCTCCCAATGAATTGTTACAATCCATTAACTCTGCATTTTGGAGGGAGGTGGCAAGAGTAAAAAAAAAAAAAGTAAAATAGAGACGCAACTCTGTTCTCCTAAAGGGATCTTAGATGTGCAAGAACATGTTGGTGTGTCTTCCCACCTATAGACCTTTTTCACAATACTGTTTTGACCCTTCTTACCCATATTTGCATCCATCCCAACGCCAGTCTTTTCCCTAGCCCTATATATAACGTGCAATCTCATGGGTGGCAAAAGGCTACGTCTTTGGATCATTCATTTCCGTTCACTCACCTGTGAGATCTGGAGACTAGCTTTCTTCTTCTTCTTGCTCAAGTGCACTCTTTTAGTAGACGGAGGATGAACTCTTGATCGCGGAAAAAGGAAGAGACCTGATAGTTTCAGAAACAAAACAAAGCAAAGCAAAACTCTGTTAAGGAATCCTCTCCATTCCTGCGTACTCCATAAAATATATAAAGAAAGCAGAGAGGATACAAGGCTCTTATTAATATCCCTTCCTTGGACTTAGCCTCTGATGACCCACATCCGTCTTTACCTTTCTCGGCTGAAGCTCAAGCGCTGCGATTGCACTGATCCAACTGATTAAAGTACCATAAAACCGGTTTCTAATCCCCGCGCAAAGAACCTCTCCGAGTCCGTCGCTCTTAGCAAGCGAAGCTACCGCAGTGCATTCCCCTCCCCCGGTTTCGTGGCACAAAGGCTTCTGGGAAGTGTAGTGCCTTTTTTCATTCCATTGAATTGAACTACAACAGGGAGGTAGCATTCGGGCTCCGAAACAAGTAAGGGCTTTGGGTAACGCGCGCAGTTGCGCATGCCCCGTATTTTTCTTCCTAGGAAACACGTGTTGCGCAAACTTAACGCAAAGACCAGAAAAGGGAGTAGATTGAAATAAAGTAAAATAAAACCCATCGGATCTTTCTGTTTCGGCTCTGATTTTTGCATGGCAGAGCGCCCTCTTCCGCACGAAGTAAGAAACTCGAATGCATTAATTAAATGTGGCTCGTGCGAGTCAGTGTGGACGCCTGGTGACAACTTGGAGAAGTCCTTCCAGATTTCTTAAACAAGGTTTCAGGACTAGTGTGTTGTGTCTGGTTTGGAAGCATTTCTTGCTTCGGAGAGGGAGGAAGGCGGTGGCAGAGAGTGGTGAGGATAGTAGAAAAGATCATTGGTAGTTCACTTCCTTCTATCCTGAATATGGCATATAAGGGATGTTTGAGCAAAGTCTGCAGGATTGCCTGGGATGCTACATGTCCTCTTCCCAACCTGTTTTGTTCCATACGGTATCAACATTGTGAACACTCAACTTTCTTTTTCTGGTATGTCAGAGGTGTCCAAACTTGGGAATTTTATGATTTGTGGCTGGCTGGGGAATTCTGGGAGTTGAAGTCCACAAGTCTTAAAAGTTCCCAAGTTTGAACACCCCTGTGCTATGTATTCAAGATGGACAGTGATTAATATATATATTTAAATGTTAGTTTAGAAACTCAGCACACAAACACACCCCCAGCATGAAATATTTTGGGAAACATTAAAAATGTTATATTTGCCTAAAGGATAAATGGAGAAACATGTTCTTAAAGGCAGAAAGCAGACTCAGTCTTTCTTAATAGCCCTCAGCAGATATTTTGTACCCATTATAAAAGATTTGCCAGCCTATTCAGAAACCAGCCCCAGTTTCCCTACCCCAAGCAGAAACCGAGGAGGCCAGCTTTTAGAAATGCAATTTGGTAATCCATTCAGAAAGACTGGGACAAGAAACATATAAGCAGCAAACAAAAGACTCATAAAATTAGCTCAGACATAAGGGATGTTTGGGACCTAGGATTTGCATTTCTTCTTTTGCCTATAGAGCCAGCTATGACCCCTACATAAACCCTACACGATCCCCATAGGAATCTGATGGCTAACCTTTTCCAGACCGAGTGGCCAAAGCGTGGGCATATTTCTGCAAATGTGTGTGCGTGCCCAAACCCTCAAATTGCAATGTGCGTTCCCCTGCACACGCCCTGCTCCCCACGTACGCACACATGCCCCCCTCCCGCACGTGCCCTGCCCCCACATCCTTGTGTGCCTCCCGCAAGCACCCCCTGCATGCGTGTGTGCCCCCCACATGCCCTGCTTTCTGTGCATGCACCCCCATGTGTGTAGCCCACCTGCTGCGTATGCACACATGCCCTCCGTGCAGCCTGCCCCCTGTGCATACGTGGCAGAGACCCAAAGGCCTGCTGGCCAGTGGGAGGCGTGCGTGCATGCAGATCGGAGCTGAACTGGGGCGACGGCTCATATGTCATCAGAGAGGGCACTGCATGCCACCTCTAGCATACATGCCAAAGGTTCTCCTCTCTTCTGCTTGAGCAGGGGATTAGACTAGAAGACCTCCAAGCCCCTTCCAATTCTGTTATTCTGTTGCTTTTCCTGGCTGCCCATGGTACTTCCAAAATAAAGTTCAATGGCATCAGTACTTTTTCTATCCTGCTTCTTTAAACTCCAACTTTTGTTTACATAGAGCGTCGTGCGGAATATCATNCCCTCCCCTCCCCTCCCCTCCCAGGAGTATCCACGTGGCTTGTTTTGAATGTGAGGTAAGTACAGGGTCTGCACAGAGGCTCCGGAAGGGGGAAAAATGGACCTCCCGGAAGTTCGGGAAGGCCTCCAGAGCCCGGGGGAGGCAGTTTTCGCCCTCCCAGAGGCTCGAGGAAAGCTTCCGGAGCCTGGGGAAGGCAAAAACATGTGCCCCCTCCCCCGCCATGGTGCAGGAGGCCGACTAGACCATGCCCACGCCCACCCAGCAAGAAACTCGTTGCTGAAATTTTTGAAGGCCACCCCTGATTTATACTATTTATCGCCACACACTGACAGGGTGTTCATATCAAACTAAGCTATAATGTGGTTTTGGTTAGGGAAGAATCTAGTTTTTGCCTTAATAGGATATGTGAGTTTCCTTGTGGCTCAGTGCAGTACATGAACCTAGCCAAATGTAACATTTTGGTTAGCAAAGTTGGGCTATAATGAGAGGTATGAACAGAATCGCTGAGTTCTTGGCCAAAGTGAGATAGCTACCAAAAACCACCCAGCTCTTCTAAACCATTGTTTGCCAAACTCATCAATTTTAAGAGACATGGAGTTCAGGTCCTCCTGCAGGTTGGGGAACTCTGGGAGTTGAAGTCCAAACACCCTAAAGTTGCCAAGTTGGGAAATACCAAGCTCAATCTGATCAATTTCAGTTTTTATCTATAATGCCAAATTTAGAAAACATTAAAAGAAGAGAATCAAAAGAAGAGTAGTTGAGAAATGGCTAAATGGGAAAAAGCAATGTGACTTCTATATTGGAGCAGTTAAGAGCAAGAACTCTATCATATGCCAAACATCGATTGAAATCTCAAGGTACCCATGAATTTATCTGTATGATAGCAGTAAAACTGACATTTTTTGTTGTGATTATGAAGTAGAGACAAAACCTACATCTATTTATTGAAATCTTACCAACTATTCTCACTCCTAAATTGGATGCAATGTTAATAATTACAAAATATTCCCCATAAAGAACATGAGAATAAATATAGTAGTACTCGAGTTACGAATGTAATGGACACTGCCCATTCCATCCATAACTTGAGAATTTGTGGAAGTGAATCTCATACCTTGAATGACATCACTTCCTGCTTTCACCCATGCATTCTCTAATTTAATGTGTGGGTGAATGTGCGGCTCGTTAAGTACACATGAGGAACCTTGGGGTGGGAAAGGCCATGGGGGGGGGGTAGTGAGGGAATAGGTCACCTACTTCTGACTACCCACGGCCTCTGCCGACCCACAGAGACCTCCTTCTACCTCCCCTGACGTCCCCACAATTTCTTCCCCCAAATCCTGCCACGCTGGGCGACTTACCTTATGAAGATCTGTCTCTTCTCCAGTCTGTTCCTTTGCCTGCTTTCCCTCCTTTCTCATCAGTAAAGGGTTTGATGAGGCCTCTGGCAGCAAGAAAGTAGATTCTTTCAAGCTGATCTCCGGTGAGAAAGCAGCCACAGAACGCCTAACACAGTGTTGGTAAAGCGCTTGAAGATTGTGTCCCTGTAAGCTTCGGCAGCCGTTTGCAAAAGGCCTTTGCCAGTAGGTACTGGGTTTCAGAGGGATGTGCCTGCACCTCCCAAATGCCGCTGGTGCCAACAAAGGCTTTTTGCAAAGGGCTGCTGAAGCCTACAGGAACATAATCTCCCTGCAGCATTCAGCAAGGAAACGGCAAACGGACAGAAGGCCTGAAGGACCAAAGCCTTCCCGCCATTTACAAACATCCAGGCCTCAATTCACAGAGAATAGAGGCCTAAAGTGCAAGATTACATGTGATCAGTAGTACAAGATCTCACACTATTGATCTTGTTTGATCTCGCGGTATGTTAGGCCTCTGTTCTCTGCAAATGCAGGTAAAGAAACTGCAATAGAGAGAGGAGATCTTTGCAAGGTAAGTGAATCGCCACAGGTGAAGTGCCTGTGAAGACCCGGTTGGTAGTGGTGGGGGAAATAGGCGGGGTGAATGTTGCAGAGCCTCTGCAGTCATTCGTAACAGCAAACAACTTCCATGGTGCTGCAATATTCACAATATTGGGACTTGCTCAATTAACTCTAGGGGACGCTTATCAGGTAACTTCGAACGTTCGCTAAGGGAAAGCTCGTAACCTGGGGATTATCTGTATAAAGTATTAATAATACATGTCAGATTACAAGTACATTTTAAAATGGGCATCAGGGAGAAAATAGGTTCAAAAATGGGAAGAAAAAAATGTTCCATTCATTGCTAGACTGGAAAAAGTATCTTAACCCTAGAATTTATACCCTGCTTGTAGCCCCCTTCCCCAAACGATGGCTACTCACTGTCTCAAGACGAGCCGCCGGCTGATGTTGTTTTGGGTGTGACAGTAGAAACGTGCCAATTCTTGGTTATTTGGGTTTTGGGCGAGCACACAATGGGCTGCCTGTATAAAAAAGAAAAACATCATTACAGCCTCCTAGAGATATCCAGGCTAAAGGCATCCTACACAATCCAGCTGCTTCATAACAAAATCTTATGAGGAATCATCCCGATCCTATTAAGGCCTTGGTTGTAAAACATGTAAAGAATCTTAGCGCATCTTAAATGCTACATCAATTTTCTTGGCTCGAGTAGCATAATGTGATCACTAAATAAGAGGTGTCTTATTTTACTACAAGACATTGATTGGCCAGATCCTGAAAGACTGTGTCTTTGAGAAAGTCTTCGCTGATTCTCACTACTTGGGCATGTGGCTCATCCTTGGTGATCCCCATTTTGGGGAGGGTTAAATTCATTATTTCCCCATTATGACTTTTATATTGTGGGCAATCTGCCTTGAAAGTCAATGAGATAGATAAGATAGATAAGATAGATAAGATAGATAGATAGATAGATAGATAGATAGATAGATAGATAGATAGATAGATAGATAGATAGANCTCCCACAGATTAGAAATACACACAAGAGCTTCTCCAGCTTTAGTATAACAGTTTTGTCCTGCAAAAGGTCTCCTCCCAAAGTCTCTTCTTATATACTCTCTTGGGAGGAGCCTAATCACAACCACCTGGGCCAAATTATCTTCTATGTCTCTGTAATTGCTGCTGGCGCTTATCTGCCCCGTCTTTGCCTGGCATCTGGGAGCAACTCCCTTTGCTCCTCCCCACTGCTCCAGGGCCTGACTTCTTCACCACTGCTCCAGGGCCTGATGTCAGGGACAAACTCCCTTTGGCTTTCACCACTGTTCCATGCCTCAGGCATCTCCTGGTGGCCAACAGCTTCTCTGGTCCCTGCTCAGAGTCTGAACCCTGCCCAGGGTCTTCCACATCATCCAGAGCTGACTCATAGGGCCCCTCGCTATCAGAGTCTGTTGGCAGCTCCAACGGCTCCTGCTAGGCCACAACACTATCCCTCACTGCAGGGCCCTTCCCCCCAGGACTGACGCTCAGGGTGCGGCCTCGAGGGATATTGTGCATGATAGGCCCGCACCAAAGCAGTGGCATGTACGTCCATCACATCGGTCCAAATCCCCCCTCCAACCCCTCGTCCTTCCAGTCTACCAAGTACTGGAAACTTCCTTTAGCCATCTCAAATCTTGGATCCGGGCCACTTCGTGCAGTCTCCACCTCACGCGGTGACGGCTGGGGGAAGATGGTTGGCAGAGAGGACAAGCTGACCGCTCAGGGATCAGGAGCGAACGATGGAACACTGGGTGCACTCACATCAAGCGTGGCAGGGTCAGGCGATAGGCCACTGGGTTGATGATGGCCTCCACGGGGAACGGCCAAGATACCGGTGGTCCAACTTCTTAGCCGGCCGATGGGACGGAAGATGCCACGTGGACAGCCACACGCGATTTCCCACAGCCAACTCTGGCACCGCACGCTGAGACATATTCGCCACTCTCTTGTAGTCCTCCTTTGCTTGATTCAAATAGCGGCACACCACTTGGTGGACTGCCTGGAGCTCAGAGAGGAAGTCCTGCGCTGCGGGGACTGAGGAGTCCACTGGGGTAAGAGGGAAAAAGCGAGGGTGATACCCAATGTAAGCCACGAAGGGCATCATCCATGTGGAGATATGCTGCGAGTTGTTAAATGCAAACTCCGCCATGGCCAGGTACTCCACTCAGTTGTTCTGCTGCTGATTCACGAAGCAGCGCAAGTACTGTTCCAAGATCCCAATCACCTTCTCCGTCCCCCCGTCGGCCTCGGGATGGTGCACCGAGGACTGACAAACCTAGATGTCTAGAGCCTCCATCAGCCCTTTCCAGAACTGGGCTGTGAATTGCGTACCATGGTCCGGCAGAACCTGGTCGGGTAGGCCGTGCAGCTGGAAGACGTACTGGATGAATATGGGATAACAACGGAGTAGCCCAACGAGATACTGTGTCTGAGAGCAAGCTGATAATAAATCCCACCTTAGCCCAGTCGGTGAGAAAATCCTCTGCTCTCAAACTGATAAACAGCTGGCATTGTCCCAAGAAAGCTGGAAACATGGCTTGTCTGCTGTCAAATTTGTCTGGCACAGCCACCAGACATTTCCTCCGTGGTGGTGGGGGGATAGCAGGCCCCTGCAGCTGAGCTATCTGACCAGCCAGGAGAGCCAACTGCTGTGCCAACTGGGCATTCTCAGCATGTAATTGCTCCATTGTGGCTTAATGAAGCTTTGTTTGGTTGGGGCAGGACACAATCTGCTTTGACCCCCCCCCCCTCCGTAAGGTGAGTCACACCGACACAAGATTATTGTTAGTCAATTTATTCACAGTAATTACTCACAGACAAGACTTTGGCAGCAACCCAGGCTNCCGGACCCTTGCTACCCTCCCGGCCTTCCATAAAGCTACTAAGTCCTGGCTGTTCCGGCAGGCTGGGGGCTGTTGAAGCATCCAGCCCCACTTCAATTGTGACTGTTGTGTATTTTAATATTGTTTGTACTGTCTTATTTATCCCCTCCCCTGTTTTATTGTGAGCCGCCCGGAGTCCTTCAGGAGTGGGCGGCATACAAAACCAATAAACGAAACGAAACAAAAATATCCTGCTTTGAATGGATGACCAAATCTGCATTTCTAAAAGCTGGCCTCAGCTTAGTATCTGCTTGGGTGTAGGGAACTGTGGCTCTGAGTTTCTGCCTTTAGAAACATGTTTCTCATTTAGGGAAAATATAATATTCTGCCTTTTTAATATTTCCTAAAATATTTCATTCTTCTAAGAGGGGTGCTAACTTTCTACATTAGCTATTGGAAAAAGCAAAGATAAGGAGATAAGGCTGGGGATGAGCCATCTCCCCATTGTTGGCCCCATAGCTGTGGGTGTGGAAATCATAGGGTCACCCTCCTTATGCATCAAACATTATCAGGAACCTGGCATTCCTGTGGGGTCACTGTTAGAAGAACAATGTCCATCCAAAATGTACCTTGCCTTTAGGAAGACACTTGTGGATGTAAAATTAACCTGCAGTATGTCTCCATCTGCTCACAACCTCTTCCAACAGAAGGTCACTTTCTTGCTTCCACCCCACCCCCCCTCATTTTTAACTTCTGGGAGTGGAATTTGACTACTGGAAAATGCCCAAGGCCATTTCAGCCACCCTGATTCCCTGTTTGGCTCTTGATTCAATCCACCACAGGATTTTGTGTTCATTTCCCTGTTCCTCTAATGGGACATGTTCAGAAAATAATGCTACTTTTAATCCCACTGTTAGCGATCCTGGGAATAGGGACAGCAATTGGAACAGGTGTGGGTGGAATAACACACTCCATCATACAGTTTAGGCAGCTGTCAGAGAAATTCCAAGAAAACCTAAACCAAATTGCTGGCACCTTGGTTGAGGTCCAAGATCAAATACTCCTTGGCAGCAGTGTGCCATAGACCTCTTAACTGCTGAGAAAGGTGGGCTGTTTCTATATGAACAAATCAGGTGTGATCCGAGGAGTGGCGAAAGATTTGCAAGACCTGGCGTCCAAGATTGGACAGATGCTGCAAGGGGAAGACACATGGTTTTCTTGGTTACCTGGGACTGGATGGATCAAACAAATGCTATTTCTACTGCTATGCGGAAATGCAAGCCTAGCCTTTCTTCCTTGCGTGATACCCCTACTCAGACAACTAGTTATGAGGTCAGTAAAGGAAATACAGGTTGAAAAGGAATTCATTTTGATGGAAAGCTTTATTGACCGTAGCATTACTCCACATCCCTATGATGAGGATGAGATTTCAGACACTGGCACATATGTTCAACTTGCACCCTGGGGATTGGGGAGTGTCTTCAGAGGATAAGCTCTAAGAGTTTCATATGTATTACTTGTCTTTTTCCTTTCTCGCTGCTATATATCATTATTATTACTATGTATCATATGCTTGCGTTGCTGATCAAAAGCTCTGTAATAGGCTAGACTCAATTGTAGGTAAAAATAGAGTCTAGAAGGGGGGGTATAAGGCAGGATAAAAAGTGAATTAAAATATAAAAGTGAGACATGACAGAAAATAAGATATAAAAACCTGCTTTTAAGACATGTACAAAAACAGGAAATGTCAAAAGTCAAAACCACAGAGTTCAGCTAAATTTCTTACGAAGCCACATAGTCATTATCTGTGGCCCAAGACAAAAGGGGAAGTAAGACAGTATCTGCTTATAAGGCTTCTTTCCTCAAGATAACCAATAAGAAGTGGGTTAAGTGTTTCCGTGTGGTGCTGCTTTTGAGAAATTATAAGAATGTGTGCTACCATAAGAAGAATTGTTCAGAAGTTACATGCTAGCTTTTGACTGGCTTTTCCGATCCTGGCTGCCAATAAACTTCTCCTTGATCCTGAGACGTCTAAGCCCTGTTATTTTCTGCAACAACACTATGTTAGTTAGTTTATTCCTTCCTGCCAAGTGACAATAGTTCATTGATAGCTGTTCATTTTCCTGCATACTCCCCTCCCTTGTTTCTAAGCAAGCAGATTTTTTGGGGTATTGTAGGAAGTCAGCACCCACATCCAAAGTTTACCTTCCACTTGTCAAGGATTTAGAAGTAATTCTCAGCTTGAATAACTTGCAGATGAGTTGTTCACTGTCTTTAACTCCATTCCTAGCTATTATCCCATTGATAACTGTTCATTTTCCTGCATACTCCCCTCCATTGTTTCTCTATTCTAAACAAGCAGATTTTTTGGTATTGTAGGAAGTTAGCACCCACCTCCGTTCTAGAAGAATGAAATATTATGGGAAATATTAAAAAGGCAGAATATTATATTTCCCTGGATGAGAAAAGGAGGAACATGTTTTTAAAAAAACAAATCAGCTTCCTGCAGTGCCTTGCCCCACCCCTTCAGTTCCAGGGTGATGGGATTAAGACATGGCCCTCGGGACATGATAGGATTAGCCCTCTACCCATCTCACCACATGGCACCTGGGAAGATTACATCATCCAGCAAGGCTCAACCAAGCCTGGGATTCAGGACAGCCTACAAAGTTGCCCCTGCATGGCCCCATGGGAGTCTGACAACCAATCAGAATACAAGCTCAAATTCAAAAGCCGAGAGAGGGCACAAAACCAGTGCATTCTCAGCATCCCTTTTCCCCCAAGACCTCAAACCATGTGGTCCTGTCCATCATCAATAAACCTTCTTTCCAAGCAACTTCCATGAATCCAGTGTCTTTTTCCTCACTTGGAACTGAATCCAGAAGGACATTTCTTCCAACAGTATAAAATAATATTTTCAAAGAAAACACTTTTTTTTTTCAAATTTAACAAGATTGCAATTTGGTAAAACTGGATTCGGAATCTTATAGACATTTAAGATTAAACATTAACTCTACTAAATAAAAATATTGTCAATTGCTAAAGAATATTTGATTCAAAAAAGGAGAAAAAAGATTGGATAAGTTGCCTATAGCAGCTTTAAAATTTAGCTGTTTAGATTCATTCCTCTTAATTCACAGGAACATTTTCAATGTTGAAAATGAACGAATATAGGAATCAAAGACAAATATTTTCCTTCATATGGTTTTTACTATGCTACTTAAGCTTTAAAAGAAATATTTTGGGGCTTTGCTTCTTCATTCCATTCCAGTGTTTGCATTAAACTTGATTTTGGAGTCCCAAAAATAAAGTCACATCTAAGGAAAGAACATTTAAAGCTTTCCTAAGGCAATAAGCAATTTGAAACTCATCAACCAATTTCTTTTTCTTTTTTAAAAATATATATTTTTATTGTTTTTTATTGTTTATTTAAAACAGTGCAGCACCGCGAGGTCGAAGTGACCATACAATCACATTATATACAAATAATCTCATCGAGTAACTGTTAGCATATTTAATACATTATCTATCCTTTTATCCAATCACATTATTTACAGCTTGTTCCAGTCTTGTCACCTTGTCTTATACCAATAATAGAATTTGTTTCAGACTTCAAAATATTCCGATTCCCATTTATTTTTTAGTTCAAGAGTGAGCCTGTTTCCGCAAGGCCAAAATTTTCCTAAGTATATCTAACTCTGGTGTTGTATTTTCCTTTTTCCAATACTGCACATAAGTTATATGCGCCACAGTTAGTACATGTATAATTAGATAAAGCGCATCTTTCTTATACCCCTCCGATATTATGCCTAGGAGAAAAATTTCTGGTTTGAACAAAATTTGATCTCCCACCATCTGTTCCAACCATGATAGTATCATTTTCCATTATCTTTTTGCTTCATTGCATGTCCACTACATATGATAAAAAGTGTCTGGTGTTCTTTTGCACTTCCAACAATTTGGGGCCAAATTTTTAAACATTTNCCACCAAGTCATTCCCATAGAACCGATAGTAAAACATTTTGAATCCCATCATTGGGGAGGGAGTGCAGTGCATCTGAGCATAGGGGTGTTGTGGAAAGAATATACTGTGGCTTGGGAGCTTCTTCACACTCCGCAGCTCTGGGGCTGCAAGAAGCTCCTCAGCTGCAGTGTGAAGCCATAACTGTTCCTGGAAGTCTCAGTTGTCTCAGCCTGGCCCAGCAGCTTGGCATAAAACCACTGCATCCTGGAACAGACCAAATGCCCTGCACTGTGCCACCCAAGATGATCTTTATCATTTTCTCCCACTATTGATGCTGCTGTATGTAAGGCAGCTGCTGGCCATGTCAGGCTTCTTCCCACTTGCATCATTCATTCCCCGAATTGTGTGCCCTGTTCCCACAATGCTTTGAAAAAGTATTTTGAAGCATCACAAGAACGTGACGGCCATTCTCCAAATAGCATCACAAGAATGGGGTGTCTGCCATTCTCCAAATAGCACATCTGTTTTTGTGAGATCTGAGGAAGAAACTTTCCAAGAGCTTTTCCAAAGCAACACAACAGTGGGATGCATTTCTTGGGGAATCAATGGTGCACACAATTTAGAGAATGGAGCAAGCAGCCTCAGGAAGAAGGCCTGGCATGGCCAGCAGCTGCCTCATATACGGTAGTGTCAGTCTGGGTGCACCTCATCAACCGTGAGAGGAAAACAGGAAAGGTCAATTGTGCATGTTAGGGCTTGTGGCGTATAGGGCATCAGGGGCAACTAAGGCTTTGCCCAGTGGTGATGGAGTGGCTGGATGTGGTGTGGGACTTGAGGTGGCATTTCTCAGGGGAAGAGGCAACACTGGGGCTGAAGGAGAGGCTTGGGGGCAGGGGTAGCTGGTTGAGACTTCTGAAGGGGCTCAACCTGCTACCCCTTCTGAAATGAAAATGACATTTCATTAGATTCTTTGGTATGTATCATCTATTTAAATTCTCAAATACTAAATAAAACTTTAAATCCATTAAACAGTGAAAAAGCTGGTGTGTAGTCCCACGCAAAGTTTCTTGGGAGTAAGATTAAGGCTAGTATTGACTTCTAGGTAGGTAGTATATAAAGTTGTGCTATGAAGTACTACTACTAATTCATACTGTTTCCTAACCCTGTTAAAACTGAAGCTGTTATTTTGTATGCTCAGATGAAACCAATAATGCTGATAACTAGTTAAATAAAACAAAGCAAACACTATCTTATGGAATTGATTTAAAATTGATTGAATGTTTGGATATGGTTTTGTGAAAGAAAAGGGAAGCTGCTAGGTAATCTTCCCCCTCTTTTAATAGGTCACTTCAGCATTGCTTCTTGAGGCTGATATGGATAAATCATTCCCTATTTGTTTTCTTTCACTTTCCACCTGTTTCATTCCTTGATGTTGTTATTTGTTTCTTTCTCAGGTGAGAACTGACTCAAGATGAGTGGCCTTGGGAACAACTCTATGGACCCGGGAAACCTGGATTCTCATAAGAGGAAGGGATCACCATGCGACACTCTGATCCAGAGGTAAGTACAATTTTAGGGAATTATTCTTCCATGATGGAGGAGGTTTTTTTTAAAAAAATTTTTTTTTTGCTTTCTGGCACTCTTTTTCTGCACAAGCAGATGGGAGCAGATTTCATCCCCTCAGATACGTTCACACATCCCACCAGTGTTTAGCTGTTTGTTTGTGAGTATCTACTGTAGAAGATGGAACACAACTCTCCATCTGTTCGTCTTCTCTCTTGGGGAGCAACTGGTGATTTGTGACTGAAGCTGTTTTTACTTATTGATTGACTTGGATTTGTAGCACACTTCACACTTTATGGTCATTAATATTTCTCTTGTTTCAAAATCTAAAATCAAAGAAAACTTAAAATGAAACTAGATTGCATCTTCAAATTATATGGATCGCTAAATGCATCTAAAAGGGCATTGGCCATCTCTAGGCTGGAGTACTGCAATGTGCTCTAGGCTGGAGTACTGCAATATGCTCTACATGGGGCTGCCCTTGAAGAGTATTCGGCG